TTCGCAAGAACCACTTTAATATCCTTACGCATAAGATGTACCCTATCCCTATCAGTGATAAGGACTCTAGGCGCTCCATGTTCACAGAACACAGAGTGGAACACATTAGCGATAGTCTTGGGCTTGGAATCCTTCAATGGCCTTGCACAAGTAAAGCCAGAGACGTGATCATGCACCAACAACGAGTAGTGTCTTTATCATCGTCTCCTTGCGTGCCTTGCCTTCGTCCGTAAGGACCAGCCAAATCCGCACCCACAACCTGCCACAGCCCTGTAGTTAGTAACCCTTGTACATGAGTGGTCACATAATCCAGGCTGCGTGCAGCTCTAGCCTTCAAACAGGGTATGCATGATCTCAAAGTTGACCTCACCAACCGCTTCAGACCCTTCCTTGAATACTTCATCTTAATCTTACCATAAACTCGAGGAATACCGAGGTGACCGTATATGTAGTGGTAAATCGCAGATAGTAGTCGAACCATACGATCCGAATAATCGGACTCACCAAGATGTAATACTCCAGTAATTTGGTCCCTCTCGGTCTCATCGGGGTCGCTTGGCTTTCGGTGAATAAGACCGTCTTGATCCAGGTAGCAAATCCTACCCAGTCGTTGCAACTTCGTAGCATCCATACCTAAGTGATTCCTTGTTATATCACCATTTAGGTATTGCTTGAACCGACGAAGAACGTCATCGGAGCTCTGGCACCTCCTAACACAAATTGCCACACACCTTTCATAGTCAGCATCATTAAGGACACCTTCACCATAGCGGCCATCGGGCGTGGCATACCTTTCCAGAGCCTGTAGTTCCTCAACTTCTCCTGGATTGCAGCCAGTTAGTTCGGGCAAGTCTATACCATCAACATTAAGCGCCATGACCTTAACGCAATCATCGTCCAGCCTCGCATCATTGCCTTGGTCTTGTCCAGGAGCTTCTCTATAGTCATAGATTACACAATTTGACTTCAAACTTGCCTCAACCTCCTTATCATCGATCCCACGATCAAACCCTAGTTTTGCCCTAGTAATAGAGTCTGCATAG